TTTCCGGACGTGTCGTAGCGATGGTGACTTTGAGGATGCGTCACTCTCTGCAAATGTACTTTTTCTCCTGTCTGTGCCCCCCTGACACCCTCATTCTGGCAGGTTGAATAATATTAACCGAAAGGCACGCCTTCTGTAGCCCAATGGTTGTCAAAACGTAGCTGGGACGGGATGGAACAGAAAGTTGTTGAATTTGCCACAGCGACTGAAATGGGTGCTGCAGATTTTCAACATCCTTGGATGTTTTGTATTCGCGCACCTCATCATGACCTCCATTATGTTAGTCAGCCCCTATAATATGGGTTACGGAAAACTATTGGCTTTCTCATGTGGATGAAGAACAACTGAACACAATTGGTTCTCATGAGGATATAGTTTTAAACAGCTACAGAAGCTGTATGAATTAATATACCGGAATCACAAAGCAGGTGGTTCAGTACAAACACCTATCTATAATTTCCTACTTTTCCCTGAAATTACCTGATCTGCGCGCATGACGATTATGAAATAGTTCATAGTAAAAATAGGGTCGGTGGCAGTAGGGTAACAAGAAGTGAGCCCTTCATTACTATTCCTTACTGTTTCCAAACCACTGCGCATTTTTACCTTACGCGCTTGATGCGGTAATACATACTACGTAAGATGTGGATCATGACATTGTGGCTTATTTTGAGCACTGCTGTGTTGAGTGTGCTAGTTATCAGTGGCTGGTTCTGTTTTTTAATTGTGTCACGAAGCCTCTGAATTTGAGTCAGGTTAACACATAGTGAGACCGATGATAATTTTAACACTGATTAACGTGTGATGGAGTGGACGTTCCGACGTTATGAGACAAACAGCAAAAGGACGAAAAAATGGTTTCACTGTACAAATTGTATCTCCGTCTTGCAGGACGCTGAGTTAATGAGTCCAGTCCAGCATTTTACCGCCCAAGCAACCAACTAGAACGTCCCGTTCCAAGATTTGTCATTCCTATCCAGGCCATACTTTCAGATTTTCACAAATAGAAAAATTCACCCCGTAAGTACCCAGACCAGGTACGTTCATTTGTCCTAATTCTCAAAGCAACTCTGACTGATTCCTAAGGGAATGTTCTCCATAGATCCTTTAGTGGTCAGCGATGCAAGTTAACTTGTCCCTTATCTATAACTAGGTGATCATTATACTGAGTTTCTTTAGGTACTAGCATGCTGGTATGGTCGTGATATCGTAAGTCTGGAGCTGATACTTCTGTTGGTGGAACTATAACTTGCATAGTCTGGTTTCTTCTGGAAAGTTTTTCTGGTAGGTAGGGTGTAGAAATTAATGCGCACATTCACGAACCACCAGTATATTGGTCGGAGTAATCATGGTATTCCAAAACAACTTGGAGGATTCGGTGGATGGTGTCAGCGCCTCATGCTTGAACCGGATTGTGACTCTGAACCGCCCATTGCATGTTTACCCCTCGATCCTTTAACCCAGGGTGCTCTCAGGACCAGCGCGTTGAGTGTGAATCCATATTCTGATCTGCAAGAAACGCTTACGTGTGCTGTCTATGAGCGTGCTCCCAATGAATCAGCCTTTGTTGGAGAAGGAATCCGTTTCGGATAGCACGACGACTTAGACATGTAAGAGAATTTGCAATCAGGGCACGTGAAAACCATCCGCTTGCGAATGGGTGTGTCTAATCAATCTGTAGGCAGGTAGACCGATTTTCATGGAGAAACCACGTGATATGTGCTGCTGCATTTGTGAAACAAGGTTAATGTGATTTTGAAATACTGCTGCTTGTGTAAGGTCTAGCTGCAACAACATGTTATGTACTGCACAAATGTAAATTAGGAGTCTCGAATATATGAGGTTAAATGATTTCTGAAGAAATAAAAAAATTATACAGACCGGTTGAAGACTGAGAAATACAACATATAGGTGTTTGACTGGCCATTTCGCCAACTTTACTCTTATGCGGGTACGGGTAATTCGTACATATTCATGTGTACCTACACTACTGATTACCAAATCAATAGTGTAAAATAACGGCCAAAATAAAATACCCGGATTGAATGGCCTAAGATGTCTAGCATGATTGTCGGTTTGTTTGGAAAGCTTCATCGGTAAGCTTAAATGGCGAATGAATAGTAAACTGAAATGCGTTGATGGGATCATACTGGTGAACATCCCTAGACACCGGATAAATTTTTTGGTAAAAATGCTGGGGCCTCAGCTCTGTTTTTGGGACTGGTGTTGGGAAAGGCGTTCAACCGGGAATTGAAGCAGTATTGGCGTTGAACCACGCACAGGAAGCAGAGACTTGGTGTACCGGTAGATCATTGCTGAAACGCTTGGATAAGGTTGACTATACTCGCCCAGAACGTAGAATCCAGTGTCCGGGTCGTTGGATATTTTCATGTGCAGCACATCACTTTCACGTCTGGAAAACACAATACATATTTTGTTTGAGGACATTTGAGTTATCTGAAGATGGTGTAATTAGTAGTGCATTATTATGACTTATCTAAACAGTAAGATTGCAAGTTGGCCCCAGAAAACGTACAGATGGCGCTGTTGTTCCAACCGAGGCATAAAACGGCCTTTGTGTAGCACTCTGAGGTGAAGACTATCGTAAGTGAGAGATTCAGTTTGATTCCAATTGAGTCTCTTATTACCACCAAATTAGTCTGCACCCAAGTGCCCACCTCCGCATACATTTCACTTAGTATCGAAGCGAAACATAAGGTTGATGAAAGCCAGCGGACTATGCCTACCTGATGAAACCCAAGAAGGGCGAAGCCGGTAATGGGCCGTCTAGAAATTGTACCAAGTTCATGATTAATCATATCAAACCACATACTGTCCTGTAACCGAACCTCCCAAAATCCTCTGTTTCTGGATGTCCATAACTTTGCGCTGACTGGTTATCCAGAGCTGTGTACGTATTCTTTTCAAACCGCTCGTACTTTGACTAAAATGAACAATACACCAATGAAAGTTACACGGTTAGGTTTTGCACTGGTTGATCCAATGAGTATGAACTACCTGGAAGATTTGAGTTGGAGAACTTTAGTAGCGAAATGAGTCTGAAGAGGCTCGAGTGATGGTTAGCAAAACTTTCATGCTGCATGTCTGTTGATGTCCAATGTGTTTGCTTGCTTTTAAAACCGGAAAATGCCTGACTGTCACTATTTCCTCTAGCATCAACAAGTCAGCTAAAGGGTGATTTTCGATGAAATTGTTCACCAGGAAGTTAAATTTGGAAGGAGCCCGTCAAACATTTTGGAGTGTCTCATTTGACTGCTGTCCAGACCGGAAGTATCCATAGTGTTTTGACGTAATTAATGAGAGGGTCATGGTTGGTGTATATCCACTTCTGGTCCGTTGATCCACGTGCATCCACACACCGAAATAACAAATGACCTACTGCTCGACAAGTTGTGCAATTAGTGTAGGGCTTATTCACAACACGCATATCCTTACTTAAATATGTATACGAATGTGTCGGTTTGAATTACCAGATATTGTGGCCGTAATTTTACGGCGCATTATCCATGTGTAGTTTTAACTGACCTGGAACACGTTATGCACGGATTGCGACAATTTTGTTGAATCTATGCTGATGGTATGAGTCCCTAACTGCTACCCTCGGAAAGCATGTAACATGCACGACCCCTGATGTTCTACCCATCAGCAGGCGGTGAAAAGTAGAGCCATCAATTATCCGTTACCACCTGGGGTGGTAGCAGACTTTGTCCTCGTCTGACAAGTACTGGGTAGTGCGAGTAAACAGGAATTCAAATCAGACATGATATTGCAAGTAGACTGTTCCATTTTATCGACAACCTTAGCCGAACAGGCTGTAAACAACTTAAATGCAAAGGCCACACAAAATCCAAAGGCAGGATTATCCGATGTTGACCCTGACACCCTACTTGCCAATGTTCTGTTACATCAGAATGAATGTGCAACATATAGGGGCATTCTGTTTCAGTTCAAAATATCGGAGTATTTTTATTGACACAACGATGCCGATAAGGTTGCGGAAACTTTTCGGCAACTCATTACCCATGTAGCCCTCATTTGGGAGAAGTTTATGTGTCAATGACTGCGTGAATGCAGTGTTCATGTGGGTAAAAATGACCGATGGAAACTCGGAACTACAGTCACTTGTTTGCTTCAAAGCGGCGAAACCGGCAGTGGAATATCGAAGAGCTTTGCCGACCCATAACGAGTGTTTGCCAAGAGGAGCTTGTTTGTTTGCTGTTCAATGGTGGCTGCATACCACCGAACGTTCTTCAGAAGATTGGGTCAAGCTTGAACCACATCTACCCAGTTGTACACTATCTAGTGGTTCACCTGCATTTACGATGGTGAGTACACTTACAGAACTGACCGACTGTTCTCGGAAAGGGTAGGTGAGCCCCTTCCGAAAATAATAGTACAAGAGAGCCGTCAACAATTGCACACAGATTAGTCGATCACACGATTCTTGAAGATATTGGTAGCGCGATAAGAAATGGAAACAGACTGCTTACGTTGCTACTGCAACTGTCAATCAAAAATCGAGACCCCTGGCATTCATTGAGGCAATTCATGTCAACGACCAACCTTGTGCGTTCGTAAAATGCAGATCAAAATGGGTGTCTACGCTCAGACTAACCACAAAACAGTGTGACATCTCTTTTTGCTTTTGTTTTCATACACCTATCTTGCATTTGGATGAGGACGAACGAAGTTACAACTGCTGTTATGGTCTCAAAAACATACGCAACATTTTCACGTCATATTACTATTATCGTTTGGTTGATCATATTGACCAGCAGTTACTAACAGACAGATCAATGACAGTGAACACAGTCAGGTAAAGACGCATCTGTAACATGGGACAATTAGGAGATGCTTGGCACACGCTGGTGGGTAGTGGTCAGGTGAATTCATCCCACCTGTAAGTTGTAATCAGTGCAACTATAGGTCACAGTCAGAGAAATTTCCTATTGAGAATAAGATTCATTGGTAGCGTGTTTCGTATAGTGCATCACAACATCAAAACATTGATACTCTTCGGACTACCTTAATCCAAGAACGATTATTAGGACGAAAAATTTCAATACGGGATTCGTTACTGAGTACGCCAAACAGAAAGTTCGACATGACGAGTTGTGCGCAAAAAGTTTGAAGGTGAAGGGAGAATGAACTGATTTGTCCTGTGTCAATTATTTGTCACGAAGTTAAATGTGGATAAACTTTCAAACAGCAAGCCAAACGTAGTTTGGTTAAAATATACTTCTCTAAAATCTGCACCCATTCTGTCTAAACAAGAAGCAATGGCGCTGGAATTTTCAAACCACTAGCAGTTTTCCAAGACATCTTTTCACAGTCAAGTATTCCTTCGATCACTTGTTATCTAGCCTACGTATGAATAAGCCAGAAAGTAGCCTGTTCCTGCATTATGTTGTTTCCCGACTAGACCGTTGAAATTCCATGGCTTAATAAAGTATGAAACACATCATTCGTCATATGCTTGGTGGCAGTGAACAAGCACATAGCAGATAAACTGAGAACTAGTACATCTCTTGATGTGGTTTTTCTACCCAGTTTTTTGAAGTTAGGCATGAATATGCAGTCGAAAAATCGTACACGGCGGATTCGACAGTGTCTCACTAGGGTTGGAACTGGTGGGCTGCGATGTAATTAGGCACTATCCGCCCGAATTTGTTTATCCACTTGTTGTGCTTTAAAAATGACGCCCAGAACTGACCACGAACACAACGTAGCCTTTGTTTGTTCCGAAATAAGTAACTGCTTCGTTCTTTGGGAGAACAATTATTGGTGAGTGACGCTTGTAAATACAAGAATATTGGTTGGACATTTCAGATTAGTCTTAACCAGGCTGATGAAATATGTTGCTTTTGTATGAGTTTAACTTCCCTGTCATTATTACTCAGTAAAATAAGGAATGGAGGCCCCCTTAAATAGAGCAACATGCGGATACCTTCCTTGGCATAAGTTTGAGATGCTTGTAGCATCGCTTGGATAACGATGTTCAGTTTCTTCTTGGTGTGAGACCACGCTGCCTATAAGATTGCCGAAAACTTTTACGAGCCCGCGATCCTTGTCAAAGCGACGTTTTACTTGGACTACATATTCCATACCAACACCGATATAGACTTAATTGCAAGGTAACTTAGTGTTATCGAAAGATTCAACTGATTCTTAGCTAACTCTCTCGTTTATGACGTTCCTAATTGATACCCTGATATCCACTTTGTTTCGGTAAGATATCATTGTCTATCAGGCTATTTATCACACTGTCACATCGGTAGTTGAGGTCTAGTTGAGCTTCTGTGAAAGAGCTAATATTGTTTTCTGTTGATTCAACCTGGAGAGGGCTGAGCTACGGGAATATTCGGCTAATGATAGAATAATTAAGGAGCAGGATATAGGGGCCTGGTAGCGTTTGCATTTTTATGCTTACGGCAGGTGTATCATGTTAGATCAATGGAACTCCTTTTGCAGGTACAAAATGGCTGGAGCCGCTAATTTACGGGTTCTGCAGTGCAAGGACTTCGCCAGGAGATCATAGCAGGATTTGTCGGCGCTCCGTTTGTTTCCACTGGAAACTTTGTTGCACTAGATTCTATTCCATAATCAAGCAGTGAAATGAATGCATCCTTAGGAATCATTTATAATGTACACACTACTACATGCGCAAAATAACGCTTGAATGACACAGACTCACCGAATCGATAGTGAGTATTCCGATTTACATGTTTCACTTTGTCGCACCAGGAAGCTTCCAACACGCTTGGTTTTGAGTATGCGCTCTGCTGCGGCACGAGGCAAATCGAAGTGATACCAACTGTTGGGCAGAGAACAAAGAAGAGGTCACAAATATCAATATCGTGCCAGTAGAATAGCGCAACATACTACTTTTGTCAATCAGCCATCGAGTAAATTGAATTCAGCATAACACACTTTGTGCGCGTGCGTAAAATCAGCGGCTTCACAGTATGAATGCCATTGAGCAGCGGGAGAGATGGGTAAGAGAGCTAGTTAAAAGTTTCCAATTTTGGCCGATTTCAAACTGCTTCATTTTTCGAAAACGAATGAAATACTACTGTCATGACTGCCGTCACAGATAACGCAGTAGGTATGGACAGCAGTGTAATTAGGACATATCCATACATTGTATGCAGTGTTTGGGCCGTGGGTGAAAACGATACAGTTGTTTTCTTTCAGTGTATGGGTGTTACTCAGTGATAAAACGACACGTCGATTGCATCGATCACTCAGTATGTTCACACACTGCCCGAAAAGAACGGTTGCATCCCATTTGGGGGTCAAATGGATATTGAGCCTACTAATCATCTGCCCATATAATGGCCCTGGTTTTACATTCAAGCGTCCTCTAGCCGGGATATGCTACATTTAAAATAACCAGTGGAAATGGATGCAAACAGAACAGAGAGGGTTAGCTTTTATTTAGTAAAAAAAACATTCATTTATTACCATGATAATATCGTTTACTAAGTAAGCTCTTCATCGTACACATGAGGAGCACATATTGGTGCTCTGCGTAACTGAGGAAAAACACAGAAAGGAAAGGAACAACTGTGGTTCAATGGTCATCGAAATACTGAAAGTGTGCTTAAAAAAACTAAGGTAAAAAAGTGGAATAGAAACATAAACTGACTGCCACTATTTATCAAATGAGCGCATGAATCATAAACCTCATGATTACAGTTAGTAAACTTACGGTTGCATATCCAAGCGGTCAAAAATCGCAGATGCACTGTGGTGATGCGGTAAAAGGCGTTTCTTTCCATCCATCTGCAACAAGTCATGAGTTGAGCGACCACCAGTCGTCGTACGTCTGTCATTCTGTGGACGCCAATGATGATCAGATTGTGCATCAAACACTTCAGGAGGATACACAACTGGTCTACGATGATGCCACTGGACAAGCACCGGAGGCCAGACTCCAGATATTGCTTCGGCAGGAACGGTTTGACTAATGCAGCGTTGGTAGTAGTTTGTGGGTAGCGCATTATTATGAATATCGTCTGGTGACTCCTGACCCAGCGATTGTCTTGATTTAAACTGATCCACTGTCCGATGACTATGAGATCGCAGGATACCATTCTTTCCACGCCTGCGCCGACCAGATGAAGATGATCCTTGCCTACTTTCGATGGGAACCGCAACGCTTGTCTCCCATCCAGAAATAGGTGGCGACAAAACAGATTGTGTCATATCCGAGCGATATTTGTTTGGAATGCTTCTTGGACGTTGTAGGTCAGCTTCCAAAGGCACGTGCCGTGCTTGTTTGACATATTGCATGTTCTGTTCCATCGGGTATGAGAGTTGCATGTTATGACCCAAAGACTCAGCTTGGGCTGGATGAATTAGAAAGCTGTCTTCCAAAAATTGACGACGATGGGACGCTTGATTTATCTCATGATCCTTCGAGGAAAGAAATCTTGTTCTGGGCAAGTCCATGGGTTCCGCCCCCGAAACGAAGACTTCTGATTGAGGAAATGGATGGTGCTTTGTGGGCGATAATGTAAAGGTGGGTCCTGCACTGACCTGTCTGTGAAATAGGTTATCAGCGGGGATTTTGCCAGACCGAGCTGAATTGTGACTCTCAGCTGAAATGAAAATGATATGGAGAAACGGTTTTAAGATCATCAGACTTATTTAGGTTGGTTTGAATTCAATGTGGAGGTGAACTGGGTAACGAACCGTGATTAGATCGGAACACTTCAAAATAATTACGCCTCTCCAAAACAGGTTCGGAGCAATGCATACCTCTGGGCATCGGGCAAAGCGGGTCACTCATAAGAATAACGGCTTCCCTTCGGTTCACACCTTTTAGGACTCTAGTCAGAACTCAGAAGGTAGCCAAACTCTTTTTCCCTTATGCAGTAGTGTTGAATCCATTGTTGAACGGCACTTAGAATACTTTTAGTCGAGCAGGAAATTTTAGCAGTTAACAGTTCGACCAACTCATTTCGAAACGAAATCGATGGGGCTGTAGTGTAGTGTGTGCGCTCCTATGCACATACACGGTAAAGACCAATAAATAGACTAGCATGCCTGTCCAAATTCAATGTCATCCTCGTCATCCTTTGGAGCAGAGCGGATGTTTGGCAGCCTGACAAGCGGGCAGGCCAGCAGGCTGGTTAACCAGCCCCTCAGACTGGTCGATTCGGACGTTGTCCACAGTGTTGTTGTCTGAGCTGCACGTGTGTGCGTTTGTGTCCAGTGTCCTAAAAGCTAGAAATCCCATTCACGTGGCTAAATCATGATCACCCAGTCAGTGGGATTGTTGAGCAAAGATAAGGGAATGGAGAAGATGGTGTTCAAAACGAGTGGTAGGAAGAATAATCCAAGGTGATATGAGCGGCTGAATTGTAAAAATGAATAAATAAAAGCAATCGAACTGAATGCAAATTCAATTCTTAACAAGAACACTATTGCTTGCTTCAAATGATCTTGCAACTGGATAGTGGCTTGTCCTATGTTCGTGGGTCGGCATCAGCCCAAGTCCTCTTTCACCTTAATGTGCACCGAATGTTCAGAAATGCGTCCTTCGTTCAGGTGGCACAGTGGCGGAACATCAAGGGATTTTTGGGACCGAAAGATCTGACCTGATATGTAGTCCATCAGACTGATTAGTTTCGCACACTGTACTAACCTTTCCATGAGACAATACCACAAGACAGGATGTTAAGTGCTCCATTCCAATCTTTCTGCAAAAGGTTCAAGTGCTAGGTCCGTCCGACTGGATACCACTTTTTGGACTCATCAGAGATTATATATATATATTATATATAT